CAGAGGAAGCAGGACAGACATAGGTTACAACAGGTCAAGGTGACCTGGCCCACTCTCAAGTAAAAATTGGTTAGAGCTAGTTGAAACATCTCTAATAAGGACCACAAAGAAATCAAACTGGATCCACATGCTAGAAAATAAACCAAAAGAGGCACACCTAACATATTTATGTCTGAACAAAGTTCTTGGCCAAAGCTCGTGGGCAGTAGTGGTGTTTGGGGAGGACTAGCATCTCTGGTGCGAGATGCTCATCCACCATTGGTGTCCATCTGATCCACATCCAACTCTTACCTTTGGCTTCAAGAGGTTATAGCATGTGTAGTGGCCATACCCCAGTAAATGTTTGGACAGATGGGCTAAATGGGTTGAAAGTAACCAAGGGGTCTCAATTCCATGTGAATTAAGAAAGTGTCAACCCCAAAATGTGAAAACTTCCCCACCCACCCCGCCCTCCGCAGAATGGGCACATGAGAACAATGTGTTCCAATGGCCACAAAGGTGGCTGAAGCAGGCATGTGGAGCCCTCAGAGCATGGTTAGACATTAAAGATTCCAAGGTCACCTGCTGCAGCCCAAGCCATCTCCAGTCATCTTGACTTTTGTCTTGCCACTGGACATCAATGACTCTAAGAGAGAGTGAGGCCAAAAGCACAACTTTGCCTCACTTAAATCCAACTTATACACCAGTCAAAAGACATCACCCATACCATTTTACCATTTTTACCTCCCTCAAAATCCTGCAGCGACAGACAAGTGACAGAGCAGATGTGGATACACTGGGACCTATAGCCACAACCCTGCACATAGGCAGCCCAGGCCACAGGGTTGTCTTCCCACTGGAAGTAAGAACTCATCAGCCCCCTGGTGTCAGAGCAATCTTTTTTAAGAATTGTACTGCTTATCTCCTGGTGTGAGGAAGGGGCTGGAAGAGGTGCCCAGAAAATTGTCTGTTTCACCCAACCTTAGCCTGTTTACTGTGGCAGGTAGAGATCCCACCCTGTGCTCAAAACTAAAAAAAAAAAAATGCAAAAACTTTTGCAAAGATGATTCCACTCACTACCAGCACATGGAACGTATGCACACTTATGGACAACAGGAAGTCCATTAGACCTGAAAGACAAACAGATTTTTTGTGAGAGAATTCAGCAGGTATCACTTCCAAAGAGTAGACCTGAGCAAAACAAGACTGGCAAATGAAGGCCAGCTTACCAGTGTTGGAGCTGGATATGCGTTTTTCTGGAGTGGCCATAGCAATGAGGAGCACCATGAAGCTGGCCTAGGTTTTGCAATCAAAACTAATCTAAACAACAAGCTTGTATGCCTCCCAAAAGGAGCGAATGGCAGGCTCATGACAATGTGATTACTACTTGCAGGAAAGCACCACACCTGGAGACCCTCATCATCAATGTGCTGAAAAAGGGCAAGCTTGTAATTCTGGGTGTCTTTAACACCAGGGCAGGCACAGGCTATCAGACATGGCAGGGAGTGCTTGGGACAAATGGAGGCAGAAACAGCAACAACAGTGGTCACTCACTACCGAAGATTTGTGCATCTCATGACTTTTCATCATCAATGCTGCCTTCTGCTTACCCAAATGCAGTAAAACTTCATGGATGCACCCTCCCAGCAAACATCGGTATTTAATAGACTACGTCATTGTGAAGAGAAGAAGCCATGTGTCAGTGTGATGAAGGCAATGTGTGACACAGAGTGCTAAATTTATCCTCTCCAAGCTAAATATTCACATTCAACAAAAGTGATGGCCCCAGGGCCACGAGAAGAATCTTCCAACTACCAGAAGAATCAATGTCAACAGATTAGAGTGCTTCTCTGAGCAGGAACAGTTCATTGCTAACTTGGAGGAAAAGCTAAACCAAAATATGGTTGGCAACAGTGGAGTAGAAAAGGTGTGGGCCTGTTACCTCTATATCCCAAAGACATCCAAAAAAGGGAGGGGAAAGGATCTATTTGTACAAAAATATTTATAGCAGCTCTTTTTGTGGAGGCTAAGAATTGGAAATCAAAAGGATACCCATCAATTGGGGAATGGCTAAACAAGATGTGGTATGTGATTGTGGTGGAATATTATTGTGCTGTAAGAAATGACAAGCAGGATGATTTCAGAAAAACCTGGAAAAACTTACATGAATTGATGCATAGTGAAGTGAACAGAACCAGGAGCATGTTGTACACGGTAATAGCAATATTGTTCAATGAAGAACGGTGAATGACTTAGCAATACAATGATCCAAGACAATCCCAAAGGACTAATGATGAAGCATCCTATCTGCCTCCAGAGAAAGGACTGATATTGATTGAATACAGACTGAAGCATGCTATTTTTCACTTTCTTTCTTTTTTTTATTTGAGCCTTCTTGTACAAAATGCCTAATATGGAAATGCTTTACATAATTGCACATATATAAGCTATGTCTTATTGCTTACTGGCTCAGGGAGGGGGAAGGGAGGAAGAGAAGGATAGAATTTGGAATTTAAAACTTTGAATAAACATGTTAAAAATTTTAAAAAGAAAACAAAAGAAGTGGGCAGCTTTCAGATATTTGGTGTATGGCATTGCATTTACTCACCTGGGCCAAAACACTCGCAAACATCAAGATTAGTTTGACGAAAATGATGGGGAAATTCAGAGCTACTAAACAAAAAACAAGAACTTCACAGTTTACCAGCAGATATTTCATGGATAGAAAGCAAAGTGCAAATTAAATTTAGAAAGATGCAGGATTCTTGGCCCAGTATTAAGGTAGATGAAATTCAGACTTAATGCTGATAGTAACAATCCACAGCACTTTTATGGGCCAAAGACCTATGTGCCTCTCAGCTACTCGGTGCTGATGGAACCACATTGATTAGTGATAAGGATGTGATCCTGGAAAGATGGGCTGATCACTTCCATAAGCACTCTCAACAGACTGCCATCAACCAATGCTGAAGCTGTTGACCATACATCAGGTTGAAGTCAATCCCTCCCTAGCTGAACTTACAACTAAAGAAGAGGTGTTGAACGCCATTAGGCTCCTCTCCTGTGGCAAAGCACATGGTGCTGATTCTATTCCAGCTGAGATTTATAAGATAGGGGATCCACTGCTCATATAAAAGCTGACTGAAATTTTCCAGGTTATATGAAGAGAAGGTTATCCCCCAGGAGTTCAAGAATGCCTCTAGTGTCTATCTCCTTAAAGAAAAAGGAAAAGAGATTGTCCTGTGACAATCATGGGAGGTGGAAGGAGAGGTGGTCTCTTTTTCAGTCATTGCTATCAAGACTCTTGACAGAGTCCTCCTTAATAGGCTGAAACTTCACCTGGAAGATGGTGATCTGCCTGAGAGCCAATGTGGCTTCTGAAATGTCCAAGGAACGATCAATGTGATGTTTGCTGCCCGACAACTCCAGGAGAAATGCCAGGAGCAGAACAGAGGTCTGCGTACAATGTTTGTAGATCTTGCCAAAGACTTTGATACTGTCAGTCATGAGGGCATATACAAAATTATGTAAAACTTGGTTGCCCAGAGAAGTTTATCAGTATTATACACCAATTTCATGATGGCATGCTTGCAAGGGTTCTAGATGAAAGATTCTCTCACACTTTCCCAGTCACCAGTGGAGTGAAGCAAGGCTGTATGCTTGCTCCCATGCTTTTTAGCATGATGTTTTCTGTGATGCTGTCAGATGTCTTCAATGAGGATGAAAACAACATCAAGGTCATCTACTGCACTGATGGTAAATTATTTAATTTGAAAAGGCTACAAGCCAAGACTAAAGTGGAGGGAGAGTTGGTGCATGATTTTTTGCTTATAGATGACTGTGCATTCGGTGCAGCCTCCTGAAGCTGCAATACAACAGATTATGGGTTTATTCTCTGAGGCTTGTGCTAATTTCAGCCTAAAAATTAACATCAAAAATACAAAGGTTCTCCACCAGCCAGCACCAAACCATCCACAGATGGCACCATCAAAGTAAATGGAGAAATTTTTAATGCTATGGATAAGTTCACTTACTTTGGTAGTATACTTTCTAGGGATGTACACGTAGATGATGAGGTTGATGCACGCATTGCCAGAGCTAGCTCAGTGTTTGAGAGGCTCCAAAAGAAAGTGTAAAAGAAAAGAAATATTAGACTGACAACCAAACTGAAGGTCTACAGAGACATTGTGCTGAGTGAAACCTGGACAGTATACCAGCGCCATACCAGGAAACTGAATCGCTTCCATTTGAACTGTCTTAGGAAGATTCTGAAGATCACCTGGCAGGATAAGATACCAGATACTGAGGTCCTTTCTTGGACTAAACTGCCAAGCTTTCAAACTCTACTGCAGAGAGAACAACTTCAATGGGCTGGCCATACTGTTTGAATGCCAAACATACATTTGCCTAAAAGACTATTTTACAGAAAACTCATACAAGGCAAGTGCTCACATGGAGGTCAGAAGAAGCTATACAAGGCCACTCTCAAGGTCTCACTGAAAAACGTTGGAATTGATTGTGAGATGTGGGAGATATTGGCAAAGGACTGCCAGGCACAATGTGCCCATATCAAAGAAGGCACTTGCTCTACGAGTAAAACAGAATTGTAGTAGCTCAAAAGAAATGTAAGATGAGCAAATTTAAAGATATCTCTACTCCAAATGTCCATAAGGACTATTTGTGCCCCACTTGTGGTAGAGCTTTCCAAGCTTGTATTGGTTTGATCAGCCACAGTCAGACACACTGTACCTCAACCTCACAAAGTAATGTCCTCTTTGAGAACAAAGGACAATAACCAACCGCTGGAAGTCCTCCTCTCCCTTTGTAGAGACCCCTTAGGTTCCCCTTAGGTTCAGCTCTCTTCTGAGCTCTGACAATTAGTACCTTTCTAGAGTCCATAGATAACACTTCTGTCTGTCACAAGGGCTCATGATCCCTGAAGCTACTGCCATCCTTGGCTGTCTTTCAACATGCATGCCTTTGTCATCAGCTGCCAATACTGGGTTGGTCATTGCCATTACCTTTAGTTGCTAGGAGGGATTCTAAATAAGCCTCTGGATCTCCCATACTCCTATGGTTTCTTTGGGCACTCCCCTCTCAGAATATTCATTCACCTAAGATCAGAAAAGAATAAACATAAAGTAAACTGAGGCACCATATGCTCACAGACACATGGCAGCCAAGTGGAGGCATATAGTCAGCTGCCACTCACCCAACCCATAGTTTACATTGTTCCTTGTCTCACTTGCCCCCTAGAACAAAAAGAAGCCAAGACAGGCAGATCTTCCTTTTTGTACTCCCACTCAATTCTGGCTCTGTATCTCTTGAGTCATCGATTCTTCTAGCTCCACAGCCAGTTAGAAGATTTTTCATCATCGAGTGTACCAGCCCCTCCACCACATATGGCTCAAAATAAGCTCACAAAATTCCTCGTGTTGAATTGGAAACAGGCAGGGTATATTTGTGCTGTCTCTGTATAACCCATGAAGGAAGGGCAAATCTGAACATGCCCTAAGGGCTAGGTCCTCATTGGTCAATCTCTCCATCAGTCATGAGAAAAAGTAGTAAAACAACACAAGGAAAGACATAATAGAGAGAAATACGAATTGGATGAATCACATATTTAGAGGCCCTAGAGGTCATTCAGTCCAACTCCATCACACAGATGAGGAAACTGAGTCCCACCAAAGTTAAGTGTTTGGCCCAAAGTCGCACAGTTAGTAAATGATATGACTAAGATTCAAACTTAGGCCCTTTTGTTCCAAACCTTACATTTCTTTCCAAGGCACCCCAGAGTCTCCTTCCCGATGAGATGGAGGGGGCTATTTTCCACTAAGGGGCTTCTGAACTGATTGAGTGACCAGATCCAAAGGGTATAGTGTTGAATGAGTCCATACAAACCTGGAGTGAGGTTTCTAGTTCGGTGCTTGAGAAATCTGTCCTTGACCTTTTGTTGTTCCACATTGTATCAGTGATTTAGATCAGGGTTCAGCAGACTATTGCCCATGGGCCAAATCCAGCCCACTGAACTTTTGGGTATGGCCTGCAAACTAAATAAAGTTGCATTGTATTTTAAAATGTAAAAACCATTCTTAGCTTAAGGGCTATCCAGCTCCCCTGACTTAGAGGAAGGCAAAGATGAAATGTTTATCAAAATGGCACATCACACAAGGTAGGAGAAATGTCCAACACTGATTAAACAAGTTGGAATCCCCAAAGAACTAAACCAACTAAAGTGAACAGCTGAAACTACTGAGGTGAAATTTGGTAAGAGAACATGTCAAGGCTTACATTTGAGTTTTTTTTTAAAATGTTACAGTCAGAGGAAGGGTGAGGCATGACTAACCAGCAGTTCTTAAATAAAGAAATTGGGTCATCTAGAGAATTGTAAAGCTCAGATGTGAATTTTCAGCAAAAAATAACCAGTGTGATTGTCAGAGGATCACAGACATAGTGAGTGCTAGAAAGGACCTCAGAGATCATCTTTAAAAAAAAATTATTTTAAACAATTGTTCTCCCAGTTCTGAAGGTAGATCGTACGCAGTTGCTGTAGCTTCACTCTGAATTGACTATAGGCAGAAGTATGTCTCTATGGACTCTGCAATTCAATGTCATTTACTCTCTCTTGAAGCCAATTGTAATATTTTGATCTATTAAACAAACAACACCCTAAAGAAAAGGACATTTTATATCACTCATCCAAATATTTTGCTAGTTCTCCCACAACTACAGTGTTCTGCCAAAGGTTATCTCCAGTCTCATTTCAAGCACACTCTTTTCTTGAAACTGTAATGGAAGATCCAGGAAGTATGATCATCACAACCACACTCCACACTACATTCTCAGAAAAAAAGTGTATAACCATATACACCCAAATTTGAGGGTAGCAGCTAGTGGGCCCAGTGGAGAGAGGACCAGTCCTGCACAAAGGCCTGAGCTCAAATGTAGTTTCTAACACTTAGCAGCTGTGCGACCCTGTGAAAGTCACTTAACCCCTGTTTGCCTCAGTTTTCTGATCTGTAAACTGGAGATCATATTAGCCCCTACCTCCCAGGGTTGTAGTGAGGATCAAATGAGATAATTATAAAGAGCTTAGCCCAGTGTCTGGCACACAGTAAGTGTTACATAAATTTTAGCTATTATTATTGTTGTTGTTAGCCTGTGATCCTAAGTAAGTCACTTAACCTCTGTCTGCATCAGTTCCCTCATCTGTAAAATAAGGATTGTTGTTAGCCCCTACCTCCCAGGGTTGTTGTGAGGATATAATGAGATAATATTTGCAAGGCATTTTGCAAACCTTAAAGTATTATATAAATGTTATTTATTGTTACTAGCATTAGGCTGGTGCCTTCCTGCAACCTTTGAGTTCCTTTTTGTGTGTCACCTCCCCCCCCCCGTTAGAATCCGAGCTGTCTGAGGAAAGGGACTGCCTTTCACTTTGTATTTGTACCTCCAGCTGTCAGCACTGTATGGGACATGAAGTAAGCACTTAATAAATGCATATCGCCCAGCCATTGGAAGCCATTGGACTTTGGAATGTCACCTCTTGAAATCGATTGAGGGTGAATGGAGGTAAAGGGCCACAAACTGACCAGGGAGAGAAAGGTCCATATTATTTCACTACTACATGTTCACTTCAGCATTTTGCTTTGAACTGTTTATCCTGGCTAACAATAAAGTAGCACAGACTAACTTGTGTCCCTCACTGCTTGAAGGCCATGTTAAATTTCACCTCTCCCTCCAGGTTCTCCACTTAAGGGGGTTGGGGGTATCTGCAAACAGCTCCAGCTGCCCCAGCCCAATGGCGTTCCCTCAGTTATAAGGGATGTGCTCTTGCATCCTAGGTTCATTAGCTACAGCTCAGTCTCACCAGTTTTAAAGGCAGGTAGTCCATCAAAACAAGCTACTTCCACCACTAGGTAGGGGACACGAGGTGCTCCATGTTAAACAAGCTAGTCATGCTCAAAAGGTCCCTCAAGGGCATCTCCATATTAAGAGAGTTGAGCTTGTCCAGAGAAGCCCAGGTTACACCTTTCCCTTTGTTTCAAATTTGCCATCCCCAGCAAATATGTATATATATATATATATATATATACACATACACACATACATATGTATATATATATGTATATATATACACACACATATATATGTATATGTAATATATGTATATATAATATCCTATTAATATATTATTAACATTAATATAGTAATTCTACACTAATATATTGTGTATTGTATATATCACATATTATAACATGTGTATATATGTATGTATGTATGTATATGTATATATGTGTATGTTTATTCATTTGTTTATTTATTCATTTATTCATGTGTTTGTTTGTTTGTTTATATTTAAACTCAGTCCTCACCCCAAATTTAGAATAGTTCTTTATGGTCTCTGAGGAGGTATAAGTAAAGTCCTTTCATTTGCTTCCCCAGTGCCATACAATAAAGTCTCCAAACAGCCAAGGTTACTTTAAGATATGTAATCCCACATGTACAGATGAAAATTACAATTATCTCCAAATACAAATTATGCAAATTCACAGAACAAGGAACATTTCACGAAGTTCCCCAAAATAAGGCAGCAAAATAAGAAGCATTTGATAAAGTTTACCCAATATCTCCGTTTGCTTAGCCTTGGCCTTTTATGGCCTTTCTCAATCTACAAGCAAAAGAAAGGGCTAAGACAAAGAAAACTTGGCTTTTAACTTCAACCTGATCCCACATTGAGCTTCTCAAGTCACAAGGAGCTCCCCCTACAGGATCCTGGGACCTGGGCCTTGACCCTTTCTCAAATAGAAAACCAGCCTGGGTAAAAACGTTTCCAATGATGCCACCACTAAATCAGCCATATAACTGGGCACTACATAAGAAATGTCTGTTTCCACACAAGGCCCACTAAAATTCTTTAGGGGTTCTTCTAGCATAAGTGATCCCCATAGAATTCCAGGCAATTTCTTCTGGGTCCCTTATCCCAAAGGGCACATGAAATTCCTCCATGGATCCTTGCTACAGCCAGGGCAAATCAAATGGAATTTCAAACTCACCCATCGGGACAATGAGACAAGAAGGGTCATTTAGCCAAGAATGTTAACCACCTATAGATTTGAGGCCCAGGCATTTTCACCATACATAGGTATAGAGTATTTTCACAAAATGTAAGCAGTCTAGGTCTGCTTAAATGCAAAAAAAAACAAAAACCAACAATATGAACATTTCTACTAGACAGTAGCAATCTAGAGGCTCCAGATTTCTCCCACTAAATTTAATGTCAATACTTATGCAGGACTCAGTAATAAAAAGCATATCAGTCTATCCAATCTTACATAGAACTCAACAATATAAAAAAGTGTCAGTACTTCACAGTCAAGCAATCAAAAAATGAAATGTTCACAAAATTATGCCAATGGAACTGATTTGTAAATGAAAATTCACCAGAAGGAAAAAAAAAACAACCATACATTTATGGCCTAAATTTTTTTTTTGCCAAATTTCTCTAGGATTTAATAAAAATTAAAAGTCCTGGGCAGAGAATTTCTTCACAGGTCCCCACAAAAGCAAAGGGCACAATTCATACCTGACAATGCCTCATATGTAACACAGACTGTTGTGGCCCTCACTGCCAGAAGGCCAGCTGTGTTCAATTTAACCCTTCCCCCAGGGCTCTCTACTACCCTTAAAGGGATGGAGAAGTGTCTAGGCTCTCTGCCTACAACTCCAGCTCCTACCAGTATTGTTCCCCCCCAGTGTAGGGGGGATCCCTTGCACCCCAGTTCCAAAAGCCATTAACAATCAAATTAGCTTTTACATAGAATATTTACTTCAGAAGGTGTGATCACAAATACATAAAACTCACTCCCTCCATCCTGAAGTGATTTTTCTAAAGCACAGATCTGATCATATCATCCATTAACCCCTAATCAATAAATTCCAGTGGCTTCCTATCCCCTCCAGAATCAAACACATAATGTTCTGTTTGATGTTCAAAGTCTTTCACAACCTAGCCCCCTCCTACCTTCCAGTCTTCTTATACCTTGCTCCGTAACACATATTCTGAGATCCAATGGTACTGACCTCCTGGCTGTTCCACAAACAAGACACTACATTTTTTGTTCTAGTTGTTTTCACTGATTGTCTCCCATGCCTGAAATTCTCTCCCCCTCACCCCACCCCACCCCTTCCCTCTTCCTGCTGACTTTCCTGGATTCCTTTAGGTCTCAACTAAAATCTCATCTTTTGCTGGAAGCCTTCTCTAACCCCTCTTAATTCTGGTACCTTCCCTATGTTAATGATTTCCTATTTATCCAATACATTCCTCAATTTGTATATGTGTATTTGCACAATGTCTCCTCCATTAGACTGTAAGCTCCTCGAGGTCAAGTGTTCAACAAACTATGGACCTACAATTTTTTCTCAAGCAATACCCTCAGTATTTATTACCAGCCATGATATCTATTAAGAACTTTTCATGGTGAACAAGCTTGGAGCTTATTACAAGCATAATTTGCCATCACTTGTCTTTACTATTATATTGCTGTTTCTGTTCAGTTATTTTTCAGTCCTGTCCAACTCTTCGTGACCCCATTTGGGGTTTTCTTGGCAAAGATACAGGAGTGGTTTGCCATTCCTTCTCTAATACATTTTACAGATGAGGGAATTGGAGCAAACAGGGTGAAGTGACTTGCCCAGAGTCACACACAGGTAGTAAGTGTCTGAGGCCAGATTTGAACTTAGGAAGATGAATCTTCCTGACTCCAGTCCCAGCACTCTATGCACTATGGTGTAGCTGCCCCTAGAGGTCAAACTACTTAGCCCTATATTCCAGGACCTCCACAATCTG